TGATATAATGGTTGTGATACTGATGATGTAGTGGTGATGATATAATGGTTGTGATGGTGATGATATAATGGTTGTGATGGTGATGATGTAATGGTTGTGATGGTGATGATTAATGGTTGTGAATGGTGATGATGATATAATGGCTGTGATGGTTGTTGTTGTGATGGTGATGATGTAATGGTTGTGGTGGTGATGGTGATATAATGGTTGTGATGGTGATGATGTGGTGGTGATGATGTATTGGTTGTTGTGGTGATGGTGATATAATGGTTGTCATGGTGAAGATGTGGTGGTGATGATGTAATGGTTGTTGTTGTGGTGATGATAATTTTAAATCCCATAATTATTTTTTCCAGGTTGGGGACTAACGTACATACTTGTACTTAGAGGATATCTGGTGACCATTATTTGGGGAGCCGTGTTAACGATTGCAGCTGGTATCTTCATCAAAATCAGAAAATGAGTTGGATGAAAATAGGCAACATTACTGCACGTTATAATGCTGATTTAGAAGTTATGCTATTTTGTCCATTAGAAGTGCTTGTATAATATAAGAGCACATATGCAAGTCATTTACGCAAATGTATAAACTATTATTAAAACAAATGCGAGTTATGAATTTATAATCACTTGAACTGTAGTAGAAGAAAATAAATTAAGTTCAGAGTATTCCAATTGGTAATAAATAATATTGCCACTGTACTGTAACCTTGCTTACTTCACAAGACATCACAGGGTATCAAAGGTGGATAAAGTTAAGGGTGTACAATTCGATAAAGATCTCATTGAAATCATACAATGAACTTACTACCATGCAGGGTGTGATTAATTATCCACTTTTAATTATTGTTTTATTGTATGATAGACTTCTACATATATTTTAAGTACAATGATGTTTTCAAAGACAATATTTATTGTGTGTGATCTGCAATTCAATGCAATTTTTGGGGGATTTTGAGATCTATAGGGGAAAAAACATTTTGTATTTGTTGGGGTTATACTCCTGTGTGCAAAGCACAAAACGGGAGTCTTTGCAGTTAGTGTGTCTGTATGTGTGTGTGTGTGTATGTGTGTCCGTCTGTTCCACTGATATCTCAAGAACCATACATTAGTTTTTGATGAAATTTGGTACATAGATGCTCTGGGCAAATGCGCAGATTTGATTAGGTTTTGGTAAATATCCATGCATATTAATTACCTAATTTGCATGATAATTAGCTGATTTTTAGCTGTTCCACTGATATCTAAAGAACCACTCATTGGATTTTGATGAAACTTGGTACACAGATGCTCCAAACTAATGCGCAGATTTGATTAGTTTTGGGTAAAAATTATGCAATATTAATTACCTAATTTTCGGCTTTTCCACTGATATCTCGAGTACTAATCATCACATTTCAATAAAACTTGGTACATAGATGTCATAGGACACTGCACAAACCTGATAGTTTTTAGGGTAATATCAGTATATATTAATTACCTAATTTGCATAATTAATTAATTTTCAGCTTTTGATATA